GTCTACCCAGGGGCCACTTGCTCAGCGAAAGGAGGCCGTTTGATGACCTTCCTCTCCGTGTCCCTGCGAACCCTTTAGGCAAGCGGACTAAGCATTCGCATCACCAGCGTTCAGAGGGCCGCTGAGGACTGAAACCACTGAGCGACGAACCCGCACAAAAGAACCACTACCAGGGGAAACAAGTGCTCCCAGAGAAATTAACTTTTACAGTCAAGTGCCCATACACTTTTTGCCTCATTTTGTGGACTTTGTGTAATTCTTTGTACTGGATTGTATGTAACCATTGACTATCTAATCTGTTAGTTATTTCCAATGCAGACAGATTTTTACTTATAAAATCAATGGGCAGGAAAGGTACCGAAGTGTTCAACAATATTGTCTTGAATGAAAACCTCTGGTTAGAAGTAAAACCAGCTCAGCAACAAAGAATGTTTTAAAAGAGAAATGAGTACAATGAAGCTAGACACGGCAGCTATCTGTGGATTTACTTGTGGTTACAGCATCTGAGTCTCAGTCGACATGCTATCCTGCCTTAAGGAGGCCATTCTGGAGAATCTTTAACCTGTTTTGTTTTTTTCTACATATATGAATATATTTTTACTGTAAAAATGTAAATGACATCAAATGATGGAAATATTTATTGTAGAGTGTATATTAAAACCACTAAAGAATCAATTCACAAGCTGTGCTGCTTTTCTCTTAAGTGTTTTGGGATGGAAAGCATACATTGTTGGTTGCCCCCCCAAAAAAACTGTTGTTTTTTCTTCTTCTTCTTCTTCAAGCTAGAGACCCAGATAACTGAGGGGCAATATCTGTGACAGGCTACTGAATTCAATGTGCTCAGCAAGTGAGACTTGGGCCTGAATGGCCCGAGCTATGCATTAAAAGCGATGAGGTCAGCCCACCATTTTGGCCCAAACAAAGGTTACCACCATGTAGTTGCATTTCTCACGATCGCACACCGTAACCCTCTGATCAAATGGGCCCTTTGTGAAACCTCATATAAAAGGGCATGTTATACAATAGTGGGTTCGAATAATAACACGAGGAGGGGTCAGTTATCAAAAAGAAGCCAGTCACACAGGGAGGGGTTGAAGGGGTGGTGGTGGGGGTTGCGGAGAGGGAGTTGAAGGGTTGCAGCAAAAGCATCGGGGCCTGTGTGGCAAAATGTGGCATCGGCTGAAAGAGGGGGAATGGCTGGGAAGAGGCATTCGGCAATGAAAGGGAGGCAGAAAAGAAACCCTCTTCCCAGAAGCAGTTGAGCATGACCATCAGAGGCCAAACGACAGGGGAGGAAGAAGACCCCGAACACAGGGACCCGGCTGCTCTCACAGTGCATGAGCTGGATGTCCAATTTGTTAGTTGGTGTTTGTTGCTGCAGGAATTTGTTTTGACAGCAGTTCAAGCTCTCAAAACTAAAGCATTGAAGTAAATAACTAAACTTCTGAATGAATGCTTGCTATTTATCCGCACAAAGTAGTATCCACACAGCACCTATTTTAAAAGAGAACAAACGAATGAAGTATGCATTTTTTTTTTCTAAAATTAGATCCCTCAAAGGAATTTGCAAAACAACAAGACAGGCTATGTTTTTTTTGTACTCTTGTTCTTTCCATCTGGAAGAAGACAAAGCACTAGTGAGAGACCTGTGGTTTTGTCTCTGCTTTTTGCACTTGCTCTCTGGGTTTGGACAAGTGGTAAAAAAAATGCTAGGAATCACACGGTTGAAACAAGCTATACTTAAATGCTATTGTCTCTTTTGAACAGCTCTGCAAGAAATGGTATCCACTGTCTAAGTATTTTTTGACTGGACAGTGTTTATCTGGTCTACTGAAATAAGTAAACAAATCTAAAAATATTCTATCTGAAGGATTTGTTATCTTTGGTACATGCTGTATTATAAATAGCAATAAAAAAATAAAAATAAAAATCCAAAAAGCTTGTAATGCCGTGTTTATATTTGTTAGTAATATCAAATTTGATGGAACAAAGCCCTGCAACATTCCTAACTGTTGTGCATGTAGCTGCAGACCACAGAGTCAGAGTGACCCTCTGTTGTAAAGGGGGAACAGTAACACTAGCTCGCTCTCTGACCAGACTTTCAGTAATGGCTTTCAGGGTGGGCTACTACATGCAAAGAACATGAGGGTATTCAGTTAACACAAATGGGATGTGCTGGTAACGGTGACCCCAGAACAAACAGGGATGAGGCATTGTGTGTTTTGAGTGTTTTACAAGGACATCAATGAAAGGAGGATGGTAGGTTATGTGATCCTCATCAAACTTGCTCCCTAGTAGTTTTGGTAACGAGAAGGGAAACAAATAGACACTGTTGTGATACAATTTTTAATGTAAATTATTTTTTGCAAAAACAATAATTAGAGAAAACACTTTTAGTTCACCGAGAAAGGTAATACATCTAGTTTTGAGGGTTTAAAACACCAATATCTGGAATGTCTGTATCAAATATATCCAGAAGGAGAAAATGTTAACATTAACGTAATACATGAATCCCAATTAGGAACAGATTGATAAGGCACTGTGCAAATGCTTTCTTAATGAAGGGATCCGAGTAGAAGGAATAAATAAACGTGGGCTCACATGTGACTTGAACATGACGCAGTGAGGTTCTGCTTTAAATTCAACGCAGAATTTATCCCCTCGCTCCCACAGTCCGAATTCACTGAGTTTTGCAGTCCACATCCCCTTCGTCGGTCCCCTTCAGTTTCTTCAGCTCGTTCAGTAGCTCCTGTTCCAGGGTTAAGATCTCCTTGGGTTTCTTGTACTGGACGAGAGAGAAGAAAAAATTAATTACTTAAACATTCGCTCCATTTCCCTCCTGCAAATCCTTCACTGTAAATCTTTTTGCAAGAGCCTGCAAAACATAAAGAAATCATAAACAAAGAAAATATTTATGTCAAAAACTTCAGTTATTGATGTTCAAAGGGAAGGCTTGAGTTTAAAAATTGGTATCAAATACTGTATAATTCCATAAAAAGCTTTAAATAAAACACAATTCAACTTTTTTTGTTCATCTACCTTTGCAAATTACTGCTGAGAATAAAATAATTGGTTCCCTGCACTCAAGATTTTAGGTCAGAATAATGAGAATCAACCTTTAGTTCTTACATCTTTACATTTAAAGCAATTGGTAAGCAACATTATTGGTAAAGATTCATGTATTTGTGATTGTTGTGTAGGACTTACGCTGATAATTAAAGTGTTGTTTGCGTGAGAGAAGTTGAGGGCAGAGTTTTCCAATGGCAGCTCATTGCGATCCAAATCAGGAATATTGAACTTCTTATAATACCTGGGGAGATATGGAGAGGATGTCAAAGGTTTATCACACTCCTGTGTAAACAAATGCATTGCAAACAGTGCCATCTATAGGGAGGATACGAGGATTACATGCAACAAGTGTACAACACAGGAATTATAAGAACATATAGAATGGGAAACCCAGCGTTTTCACTTTTTGTTTGACGTTTTGACGACGATGCATCTGTCAGACGGCTCTGCAGAAACACTGAAAACATCTTTAGGGAAGGGAAGGTTGCGGATTCTCCACTGAAAGCTGTTCTTTGTGTCTTTACGCATTAGCACAGGCTGTGGAAAAAGAAACATTCAAATCCATGTTGCAGAGATGACATTCACTAGTGTTTTTCTCTTGAAAGATTAAAGAGAACTTATAAAGTAAAGAAGGAAGAGGATTAAGGGTAGAAAAAACAAAACCTACGTTTGAGCAGTTCTCCTTGATCACCTCCGAATCCAAAGAAGTGTCAGGGCCTGCTAGAGGCTCCCCGACCTCCACCTGCCATGGGCCCTGATCTCCAAGTGTACTTCTATGGCGCCACTTTCGTACTGTAAAGAACCGAACGTTTTTATAACATACATAAACTTATGCCATTAAAAACCAGAAGGGCAGTAGCTACATGCTTCTGTTCGAAACTCAAGATGTATTTCTCACCAATGAGCTCATCTGTTTTCAAGTCGTACTCTTCCGACATTTCTTTTCCATCTGTAAAGAGGTAGTGGATTTTCCTTTTGCCTGGAGGTGGAATTTGAAACGATTTTTCATATAAAATTACCATTTAACAACAAAACAAGACACACCAGAATACTATAATGTTAGTTTAGCACAACCTATACAACTACAGTCTGTACTAACACAACATCACATGGCATTATTGGTTAATTTTGTATAGCTGTAAAAAGAAACCAACATGGATGAATAAAAGGTGCTTCAGGGAGTAATGTAAAGCGAGCAGAGATGCTAACAGGAAGCAGAACCAGACTCAAAATTAGCTAGATGCTAAAAGTAGAAATGCATAACTTCTCTCTCCAGGCACTTAGAAAAGCGAGTCAAAGTGTACTTCTTTAGTCAGACACAACTTTTTCTGAAATGTTGCTACAGGCTCCTGGCGAAGGGCTTAATACATTGTCAAAACATATTTTACAGCATGAGTTTAACGGTCTATTTCTGTTAACAACATGTGTAATCTGCTACAAGGCTAGTTGTTGTGGCACCTGGTTGTCTCAAAGTGACATTGTTGTTAGCTTGAGAGCTAGCAAGCAGACTAAGTTCATGAAATGAATAAAGATAAGCAAAAATATAGCAATGTTGGCAAAAGCATATCTAACACTTGTGTAGCGTCGTTTTCTTTTGAGGTCCCTCACCATCGCTTATTAAAGCTGTTTTCTTTGATGATTTCAGGATATCAGTCCAGTTTTGCACAGCCATGTTTCTAAAGAGGTTTCTCGTGCACAGGGCCACTTCCGGACACGACCCGTAAATTACGGGTCGTAACCACAGTAACTGATAAACTAAAGACGTAAACGAGAAATTGTATTCAAATACATAAAAATAATTTAATTCAACTGTTTAGTCGTAAAATTAATTTTAATTACATGGTGTAATATAAAGACATCAAAGCATTGTTGAAATAGATTAATATATATATATATATATATTGTGAATGACCCGGAAGTGAAGCAATTGATTTGGCTGTTGTTCTGTTCGTATGGTTCCATCTGACAATGGGTAAGAGCCCACATATTAGTTTTTAAAAGCGTTTTGGAAATAAAAGTACCGTTGTATTTTCTATATATTGTAGTGAATTAAACCTGGATTTAAACATTGAGTGAAAATAACAGTTTAAACAGTTTTAATATCGATTGTTTAGGGTTAGAGCCCGATAGCACAAGCTAAAGAAAGTTAGCTAACACGATTTTATCGTTAATAAATCTCATGAGACATTATATTATTATCACAGATTGATAATTAAGCCTTTTGTATTAACTGCTGTGTCAGCTAGCTGGATATCTGTACTGAGTACAAGCTGAAACTGTTTTCTATTCCAGTGTGTTTAAATCATAGACTGGATATGGTTTAAATCTACTTGGTGTTACTGCTACAATATATAATGTTGACAATGCAGAGCAATGTTATGCAACACGTGTTCAAGAAGTGTACTGTTCTGTCATAGATAAATGAAAGTAATTCGAGATCAACAGGCATCAATGAAAAGGCAGTCCTGCAATAGCATTTACTCATTCATTTACTTAAGTAAAGTACTTCAAAACACATTTAAGGACCTATTAATGCGATTTAAAAATAATATATACTGTATTACTTTGAAAATGAATACTTTCATGCTTTCAACACAACGGATCATGTTAATAATTACAACGTTTTGTTAATATAAATAAATGTAACTACTCCACCGGCTCCAGACAAAATTACTCCCACAATGACCAGATTTAACATAAAATGCTGCACATACATTTATGGATGTATTGTAGTATTAAATAATTTAACATTAACAGGTGGCAATCAGTCTGCATACACAGTCTGCATATACCTTTGCTACCTAGTTAATTAAGATGAAGATACATGTGCTTAGTACATTTAGATTAGGATACGTACATTACTTCATTATGTAAATAAGAATGCACTACATTTTAATATAGCATTCTCCCAGTGTAACATAGCTCCTGTCAAATAGTAAAAACTATGGCATAAGTATCAAAGGCAAAAGGAGCATTTTGCAAAGGTTTAATACTTTTATTCAGTCAATATTTCAATGTGTAACTACTGTCAACTCAGACATAGTTAACATGGTTTCCCTTTATGGTATCACACAGACTTTACTATAGGTTTGTGGAGGAATTTTACTGAACGAAATTCTAAATAATAAATAAATAAATCTGTTTTCCATTTCACAGGCCTCTGGCACCCTCCTTCAAGAGATACAATGGAGCCTCGTCACGGTATTATGAAAGCCTTTCCCAAAGTTAAAAGAGCCAGAGTGTTACAGGGAAAGGATGCTCCCCCAGTGAAGAAGAAACCTGAAGAACATGATGTCAAAGGTTATTATTGTGCGCACGCACGTGCACGTGTGTGATCTGCATTAAGGATGTATTAGGAGAAGAAACCCCAAAGTTGAAGCCAAACAAATTCAACATATTCCCTCTTTGAAACATGTTCCTCTTTCTGTCCCAGGAAACTGTTTTAAAGGCGTCACAGTGTACATTCTGCCTGCTGGAATAGGAAATGCCAGATGCCAGATCTTTGAAAGGCAAATTGAGCAGAATGGAGGACAGACAGAGAGAGCGCTGTCTCCCGGCGTCACCCATGTTGTTGTGGATGACAGCATGGACAGTGACAGGGCGTTGCGATTACTTAAAGTGGATTGTATGCCCTCTGGAGTCCAACTGGTGAAATGCATTTGGTTGAGCTCGAGCATCACTCAGAAACAACTGCTGGATGTCGACAGCTACAGCCTTCTTTTACCAAAGAGGTAGATAATCTTATTGTACTTTTTTAATGCTTAACTGCATCTTGATTTTACTATGTTTCCAGTTTATCATATACATCGTTTTTTGCAGAAGAGAAAGCCATAAATGTGAATCCACTTTTGAATTGTACGTCGCAGTTACTACTTAAAGGGAAAATGAAGCGCAGAATTCGAAAGTACATATATTTTATTTAGCTTGTAGTGCTTTGTATCAATCTAAATTGTAATATGTTAAGTTGCAGAGTGAATGAAATGGAATTAATTGACATTTGGTTTGTGGTTTTCAAAGGGCCCAAAAAATACATTTGGAAAACTCAACAACAATTTGTCATTTCATTAATCCTGAGTGTTTTACTCAAGATAATCCACAGATCTTGTTGCGAGCAGTTTTATATAGGAACTATTTTCTTTCTATTGACCTACTCTACTACTACTGTTCGGCTGTCCCTTTCACAACGAAGCATTTCCACAAGTCCTTTGAAATTAAACGCCATACATATGTTTGAAAATGCAACGAGTTGTCAGTCTTAAAATCTCTTTTAATGTTCTCCCCACTTAGGCAATCTGAAACAAAGAATGAAAACATTGAAGAAGAGCTACCAGATGTCCAGCCGACTGCAAACGCTATTGTTGAGCCAACGTCTGATCACAGCAAGCAAAAGGGGACCTTAGACATGGTAGGTAGGTATCCTGCTCCTGTGTACAGGTTTTGCAGTCTGTAATCATTTTGTACCATAAGGAACAAAAGGTTGACATTGAATACATAAAAAAAACACGTCTGTGTTTGTTATAGTTAGGGCTGCACGATTTTGAGTAAATTATATTTATTTGAAAACATTTTCACATTTTCATTCAGTATTATAAAAAGATCATCTTGTGATTTTCTTTTAAGACGGTCTCTACCAAACACAGATTCTTTTTTATTAAAAGGGCCATTTTATGTTTTTTAGGTTTTTCCCTTTCCTGTAGTGTATTATATACGTTTTTGTAAATGTAAATGGCCTGCAAAGGCTAAACTACCAAAGTTCCCTCCAGAGGCCTGGAAACGCCTCTAGTATAGTCCTTTATTTCTTCCGCAACATAGTGACATCACTAGGTAACACTCAAGCTTCTATAGACTAGGGCTCCAACACATTCTACGTGATGGGCTAATGTGCGGGTCATCTCTAAGCAATTGACCAATTACAAAAGAGTCAGCCAGCTAACCAATCAGAGCAGACTGGGTTCTGGATTCAGAGAGAGGGTGAATAGAGGTGCTGCAGCACAGGCAGTATGAGAACAATAAAGACCTTTTTGAACATTAAAGCATGGAGACATGTCACAGTAGAGACACTAAATAGGAACTTACAAATGAGCATAATAGGGTCTATTTAATTCTGTAGAATACTGTTTAGCATTGATTTTTCTGCAGCACCACAATACTTTATTCAGAATGGTTTTTTTCACATATTTAGCATTTACCAAATATTGCACCAATTGCCATTTGGATATTGCACTATTCCATATTGCAATTTTGATAACATAACCTTCATATTTTACTCTCAGGCAGTCCTAAACACTCAAGAGGAAGTGCGCGGAGAAGAAGACGGGGTCTCTCAGAGTGACCTGGAAGCTCTTATCACTGGTCAAACCCCCCAAGAGGAGACTCCTGGCCCCAGCCTGGAGCCCGCTACAGACTCTGCTGCTCAGAGCGTCGTCCCAGGGAAGTGGGTCTGTGCCCAGTCTTCTCAGTCCAAAAGTAATAACTTCAACAAGGACATCACAGACAAACTGGAAGTGCTGGCCAAGGCCTACACTCACCAGGGGGACAAGTGGAGGGCACTGAGCTACTCCAAGGCTGTCAACGCTCTGAAGAGTTACCACAAGCCCATAACATCCTACCAGGTAGCCTGAAAGCCTTTTGTTGTTAGTGTCTGGACTGTGTGTGTAGCAAGTGCTTTTAATTTGATGACGCGCAAGTATAAATATTATTCTAATGCACAATAGGAAGATTATTTTTTTTAAATTTTAAATCAAACCTTTTTTTATTTGTTTTAGGAGGCTTGCCAGATCCAAGGAATTGGAAAACGCATGGCTGACAAAATCGATGAGATCATGGAGAGCGGTCACCTGCGGAAGCTAGACCACCTCGGGGATGCTGTGCCAGTGTTGGAGCTTTTTACTAACATCTGGGGTGCAGGGACTAAAACTGCACAGCTGTGGTACCAACTGGTAAGACAGACATATAACCTGATTTAGAAAATCTTCTTGCTGTTTATATTCCCTATATTTAAATTACTTTATTGCATATTTTGTCGCATAACTGCTGTCTGACAATTAACAAGAAACTGAAGGACATGAAGGATTCATATAAACAGGGGTGCAAATACCTTTTTTGCCCTGGTTCTCAAAGGAGCACCTGGAGATGTTGCTTGGTGCTCATCCTTCAAATGAAATAAACCGTAACTTTTGAGGGGGTCTTGACTTTACTTGCCAGACACACGGCACTGAACACACATGCAGAGGTGAACACAGAACACACATGCAGTGAACATAACCAATAACCTACCATAGCCAATAACAAATTAATGTAACTTATTTTATTTGTGTTGTTCATTCATATCTTATTTTACCTTAACATTTATTTATTTATGCATTTTTTTTGTATCTCCAGTTTTAAAGGATATTTTTGGTTACTGTCCTATAGTATACATTGGAATGATTTCAAACCTGTTTATCCCAATAATTATAAAGGAGTGCCTTGGAAATATGTGTTTTACATAAATTGTGACCAATCCGTTTGAACTTAGACTAAAGTTAACTATCTAAACACTCAGAGTCCTTTACCTCACTGAGCTGTAGTTATCAGCCTCTCAGTCTGACTGGAGAGGACTCTCCCTCCACATTATTGAAGACACATCTTCTTCTTGTATCCGTTAAAGCAGCTAGCACCAGATTCTAATAACAACAGCGCCGGTACCGGTGCACCCTCCCTCTCTCCCACGCTCACTCGCACTTTGGCTGTGAGCTGCGGGCGCCAGATAAGCCAACATCCCCCATTTTCATCACCTACAGCGCCCATCGTGCAGGGCAAATGAAACGTGTAACCGGGGTGAAAAGGTTGTTACATTTACTTAATTATGAATATTGTTACATCAAGGCCGAAAATTAGGATGAGCACCAACGCATCAAAAATGTGTTTTCCCTCCCAGAACTTACCAGCTGGCGCCCTAGGCGAAAGGTTATAACGCAGTGCTACGGGCCGGCCCTGAGTTCATATGCAACTCGCAAATATCTTTCTCTCTCTCTCTCTCTCCTCTCTTCTCTCTCTCCTCTCTTCTCTCTCCTCTCTTCTCTCTTCTCTCTCTCCCTCTCTCTCTCTCAATGTTGGTACGCAAATGTGCCTTTTTTCAAATGACCCGGTGCTCTCTTTTTGGCGGAGGTGCGCATGCGCACCTGCGCACCAGTTATGTGCAGCCCTATATATAAACGTTAATTTTCTAACTAAAAAGTCCCCTTAGTACTAATCTTGCTTAAATGTTCAAGGGCATTTTTACAGGCCAAAATGTTGTCTGTTGAAATCAATAATCAGTTTGTGCAGTTTTAGACACAGTAATCGTTGTCCAAAGCAGACCAACCCCAACCGATTAGAAACCCCTTGTGAGAGTTGTTTAACATAATTTCGAAGCGATCCCTAGTGCAGTTAAAATACAATGAGAATATACACCGGCCCACTCCCTATGTTTTTGGTTTTGGCAAAACATGAAACAATCCCTTTTTTTTCACAGATTGTTTTGGTTCTGCCAAAACATAGGGATTATAGGCTGCCTACGCAGGCTTTTGTTGAGATCAAGACAGATGAACAACCAATGCTTGTTTAACATCTCGCCTGAAGATAACATGTCGAATACTAAATGAAGTCCATAAAAATAGTGACATTTGTAGACGCGGGGTTTTCACTGTTTCTGTGTATAATTTTCGAATGCAACATTTTCAACCAATAAGAAAGGCTTCTGAAAGTACATTCCCTGGTCCTATGTCCTGTGTACATGCAATGTTTCCCACAGAATTTGATTCTATTTGTCCCCGGCAAGAAAATCCAAAGGCCCCTTAACCTATTCGGGTGGCCCACGCGCATCCACCCCCCCCTCAAATAAGAAAATACATGCAAGTTCATGGCTACTGCAGACAACGTTCTTGTTGCTCTTTGTTGCGTTGTTAATGAGTGAGACACACCGGAGTTGAGGATCTGTGGGGTTTATTCTCCCAAAAATATCATTTACAATTTAGGCATTTAGCAGACGCCTTATTCTAAAGCGACTTACAATGACCAATTACAGGGACATTATCCCTGGAGTAACCGAGGGCTAAGTGCCTTACTCAAGGGCACACTAGTAGTGGTGTTCCAGGCGGGATTTGAACTCGCAACCTTCCGATCATCAGCCCGCCTCACTATCCATTAGACCACCAAAAATATATTTATAAATCGATGTATGGGAAAAGCTGACATGCCCCTTGAGTATCAATTTCCTTCAGATTTGGAGTAGACAAATAGACCATGGCTTGTGAAAGCGCCCATACGAGAACCTTAAACAAAATATAAGTTATCCTTTCTAAAATGTTTGTTAATACATGTCAGATGCATTGAATAATATATGTTAATATAATTATCTGATTTTGTAAACTCTCAGATATCAACTGAAGTATCATCCTTAAAAATACAATTTGTTGGGCTGTGAATCCCTATAAAAAACAAGAAACTATGAAAAACATTTGCGTTCTTCATCAAAATCATCAAGGAATTGTAGTTAGGCTGTGAACTAAAATACATTATCATAATTAAGTGCATAACAGAGAAAAGAACGACACAGGAGACACATTTCTATTATATAACATGCTTTTTTCTTTTAAGATTGATTTAAAATGTTTTTTCCTTTTAGGGATTTCGCACACTGGAGGACATCCGAACAAAAGCCCACCTGAGCACCACTCAGAAAATAGGACTCAAGCACTACGATGATTTTCTGGACCGAATGCCCAGAGAAGAAGCAGCTGCCATAGAGAAAGTGGTAATGCATCTTCATCTGTCGCAATATTTACATATATCATTCTGTATAAAAGACTGAAGTATGCCTGCATCTTTCACCACTTTTAATATGTAACATGAGGTGAGGTATCTCTGAAAAAAGATTCCCCCTCTAGCCCTCAGTAATTTGGAAGGAGATGCTGGAAGTAGAAAAACGGTTGTGTCAGCTTTCCTTGACTGCTTGATAATGGGAAAACCAGACGGAGCATCCCAAAGGGGAAAACTACTCCTTAAAAGTAGCCGCATCTTACGTTAGCCAGATACCTGTTCACTCCAGGGCGCTGAGTACAAGACTAGTTGTTTTCATATTGTATTACTTATTTTTCCTTGAAAGCTGCCAGATAGAAAGTGCACATTAGATAGATGACTAAAGCAGGTGTATTCCCTCCGGCTTGTCAAAAAGATGATGTGCTGGTTCAGCAAACCTACCTCCCAGGATAAGGCTAAAAAGCGTACTTGTAAGAGTAAAGAACATATCCAAATATTTGAAAAAATCCTCCATCATACTCGGAAAGCCTATACAGTGGGGCAAAAAAGTCAGTCACCAATTGTGCAAGTTCTCCCGCTTAAAAAGATGAGAGAGGCCTGCAATTTTCATCCTAGGTACACTTCAACTATGAGAGACAGAATGGGGGGAAAGAACCCAGGAAATCACATTGTAGGATTTTTAATGAATTAATTGTTAAATTCCTCGGTAAAATAAGTATTTGGTCACCTACAAACAAACAAGATTTCTGGCTCTCACAGACCTGTAACTTCTTCTTTAAGAGCCTCCTCTGTCCTCCATTTGTTAACTGTATTAATGGCACCTGTTTGAACTTGTTATCAGTATAAAAGACACCTGTCCACAACCTCAAACAGTCACACTCCAAACTCCACTATGGCCAAGACCAAAGAGCTGTCAAAGGACACCAGAAACAAAATTGTAGACCTGCACCAGGCTGGGAAGACTGAATCTGCAATAGATAAGCAGCTTGGTGTGAAGAAATCAACTGTGGGAGCAATTATTAGAAAATGGAAGACATACAAGACCACTGATAATCTCCCTCGATCTGGGGCTCCACGCAAGATCTCACCCCGTGGGGTCAAAATGATCACAAGAACGGTGAGCAAAAATCCCAGAACCACACGGGGGGACCTAGTCAA